TAATATTCCAGATAAAACACAACATCAATCATCAATGCATCAATTAATCAGATTATAAAGAGCTTTCGCTACGTATTACAATCACATAATTAATCTACCGGTATTAAATCGCACCTCTCGAATCTTGATTTAACCATTTATAAATTAACCTGCCTATTGAAACTAAGCCTAAACATCAATTCTCATCTCTCGAATCTCGAATCAATATTGCATAACTCATACAATTAAACCAGGCCTAAACTAATTGCATAGCATTAAATCAATCAATAGGAAATCAATCAAGCATTGAAAATCAACAATAATAAACTACCCCTTCATATTATTTATGGATCCCCACAACCTTAGAATTAAAACTACTCACGCATAATTAAATTTGAGCTACTCAAAGCAATTCAAGAAAACATTATAAAAACAATAAATAAAATAAGAAGAATAATAGTATTAAAATAAAATCATAAATCTTGATATGATATGTAAAGTAGAAAAGAAAACTAAACTAAAATAGAAGGGAAGAAAACTAAAACTACCTACGTGACTACTGCTACTCCCTTATTCCCTTTATATAAGAAAATTTAATGGGCACAAATCCCACTAACAGTAGAACTAATCCAAACTATAGTAAATTGAGAGCAAATAAAACTACTCTAAAAGTCCACTAAAATAAGCTCCGTACAAAGCCAAAACAATGCTGCCGCTAATCCGCTATCGTCTAAGAATTTGGATAAGCCCAAAACAATAAAGCCCAAATAGCTGGAATAGGCGATGATATCCATCCGGACCGGGCCACGCCTCGCCCGATCGGGCCCGGTCAGCTGAAGCTGCGAGCTGGGCCTTGTTGCTTCTTTTGCTTTAGACTTGCAACTTGATCTTGTAACTTGGACCTTTATATGAATTGGCCCAAAATCCTTCTTCTTGATATCCAAATATTAGACTTGCAATAAAATTAGTACTCTAAACGAACTGAGCCCTTAATCACCGAACTAAATTAATTAGCTCGACCTTGGGCTTCAAATATATGGTCATAAAATACGATCAACCTCCAATATTTTTGTAGTGGTTCAACAAGCTCGAGAATTATCATAAATCTGCAAATTCCTACAAAATAATACCAACTCTACAAAAACACTATAAAACGTATATAGTAATAAAAAATAGCTCCGCAGAGCTCAAATAAGCACAAATATGACCATGGGACGGGGAATAAAAATATATATAAAATAGACTTATCAACGGTTAGCTAGGAAGCACTCTAGCTTAACCGCACAGTTAGGGTGTCCGTCCACTCCCTGTATAAAGAGTAGCCCTGCTGAAGCCGCACGTATTTAGACATGTGCCCCCAGTCCTGAGACGCGTGTTTTCATCTTGTAGACAAAACAGCTGAGAGAGTTGCCGATTTTCTTCTCTTTCACTGGATTTGGATATGTGCCTCCAGTCCTGAGACATGTATTTCTATCTTGTGGACATTGAGTATCTGTTTTTGCAGCATATGTCGATCTTTTATTCAAGTGCCAGGCTACAAATGCCAAAGCACCGTACCCCCCATTTTATCATCTTTTACTTTGTTAAAATCATTGACTAAAGTTTTAATGACAGATCGAGGGACTTTAGACCGTCGATGACATATTGAGAGGGTATCATCCTCTTTACTCTTTTTAAACCCGGTACCTTCTCATAACATGACATCACCCAGGACAGTCTTTACTTGTAAAAGCGTTCTATGCTAGCAAAGGGTCAATCTAGAATCTTTAGCGCAATAAAACCAGAAAAGACCTTTTCTGGTCTTATCATCTAATTTTCTTGAACACTTAGCGAATCGAGAATAGTTTCGACATTCTCAACACTACTGAAAGATTCTTTATCTTTAAAGAACTTCGCAGAATGAGTCTCAAATTTACTTCCTTGACTACTTTGATCTTCGTCTATTCTAGACTCGATCAAAGTGGGGGCTAAATGTAGACACCTACTTTTGGCCTCCTGACCCGACGGGAAGTGGGATGATGTTACAAAAACTCGTTCTTTGCTAGATCAAAGTTGAAGTGTTTATGGACTCTGAAATGCATTATGAAGTAAGTTAAAACCCGCATTTGAGACCAAATTATCTTAGAGCCTAGTCCGATTACTAATTAGGCCTAAAGCGTGTTCATACATGTTTAACCTTTATTAATAACGGACCTAAATGCGTCAAATGCAATGATTGGATCCAATGGATCTTACATTGTTGAAAACCGAGCCAACCAAAACATTTAAACATCCAATATCCTTTCAAGGCCTATACAGATGGATAGACCTTTCAAAGAGATTTCCAACAGTATATTATAAGCCCAATTCCGAGTGAAAACGAAGAAGTTATCATCAAAATACTAAACTGGGCCCTAAAACCGACACCCTTGCACTCAAACAGCCATATCTTTTGATCCATAACAGACTTTAACCTAATTCTAACGGCATTGGAAATTAGACATTAAGAGCTTTCCAATGATATCTTATTTTCCTTAATCCGACTTTGCAATCAAAAGTTATGGAAGTTTTAAAAACGCATTTTCGTATAAGACAAACCGGACCCCGCGCAACTCTCAAAGTTGCGCATGCCTGCTGCGTGCTAATCTTAGAGTTGCGCTCGGCACTCCAGCCCGACTCTGAGAGTTGCACGCACCACCTGACGTCGCGGCTCTAAAACCCTAAACCCAGATTCCTCCGCCTATAAATAGGGGTCTTCGCTTAGACCTAAACACAACAGAAAATTCAGAAATAAAAACCCTAAATTCTGAAATCCTTAATCTCTCAAACCCTCTTACTATCATACTACTTTTCCCTTCTTTTCCCAACTACTCTTCAACCTTAATCCATTATTTTTGAAGTGCTTAGAGGTACGAAGAAGGGGGAAAGTCCATAAACGCTAAAAATGAAGATCTAGCAACAAAGGAGAATAGTAGGTTTCCTGAGCACTTAGTTAAATCACTTTTCCTTTCTTGATCATTTTAAAATGGCTTTTAATTAATTAATTTCATATAGTATTCTTGCGTTAATTAAAGACTAGAATTGGAATAATTAGTTGTTGTTTTATAACTTAAATCAAGGCGAATATTTTTTATTTCTTATTCTTTTCACGAATTTGAATAACAAAGAATAACGACATTCGTTGCAATGTAATATTTATGATTAATGCGTGTAAATAAAATCAAATAACTTAGTTTTTTTGGAATCGCGTTGTATATATTATTTGGTAATGAAATTGTGAAAAAGGAAGAGCTAATAGAGGCCGCACTAGGGGTAGGATGGCGATTCCCCTAAAAAAGGAACGTTATCTTAATACCCTCGCTCCCGAACTCATTTCTGGTTTAATAGGCCAATTTGGGCATGTGTAAACTTATGATTCATGTCAATTATCCCTTGAACACTACTTGGGAGAAAGGTATGAACGAGGTCTATGAGTTTTCCTAAAACTTATTGGCGACTCTCTATTAGTTTCTTACAAAAAAGCGTAATGATAGAATCAATTCTAATTCAAGGTCTCTCAAACAGTCAGGAATTCAAATCCTTACACACTTTAAAAAAGTGTAAAGTCCTAGGTTTTTAAAGGACCATGGGCATAGAGGAAGTGGGATCCCCAACGACGGGCTACCATCCTTACAATGGTAAATTTATGACTGAATATTAGTTAATGATCATTCTAATACACAACACATACAAAGTAGTGAAATGCTTTAATTTCATAATATTTACAAGATAATTAAGTAGTGAATGCTTCCGGGATACTTATTCTTGCTTATTTAGGTTGTTTGTTGAATGGTTTTATTTGAGTAAATACAAGTTTATCTTCATGAAAAAACAAATTGTGTTTATCATGAGGGTATGATTGTCAAATTATATACTTAAGTTTGGGTAGTCTTGTAATTTCAAGAATATCAGAAGTTAACGGTGTTAACTTTGTGAAGAACAACGTTAATGAAGGGAAAGCTTCAAGAAAAATTTCAGAAGTTTCAATGGAAAAAGTAAAGCTCAAAATTAGCTTCAATGGAGGAACTGTTGTTGTGTATTGAAAAAACGTTGAGTGAGTCTAATTGTTGTTGATTGTAGAAAATGAATCAAAGTAATTTATTCATTATTAACGTAATTAGTAATAAAAGTTGGATTGATTTATAAGAGTTTTATTGGTTTACGTGTAAGATATACTTGATACAGTGTCTTACAATTGACATTGTAAATTTTTTTATTAGGTGCTTCTCTCTCCTACAAGTCTCCTAAAAATTTCATTACCACTCTCTCTTACTTGCTATTGTTCATTCACAAATTCAGTTTTCCTCATGAGCAAAAAACTAAAATCTTCATTCTTGTGATGCCCATTAGACCGATTTTCCTCATGAGGAAAAAAATGATTATTGTTGGCATTGCTCTAAGCATCTTATTAGATAGTGATATTTATCTTGGTCTATAGTAGTAGGGCCTAATGTAATAAGTTTACATTTCGGCCTACATTGGATGTCCATAGTAGGAATCTCCAACAATGATCATATTTTACAAATGGGCTTTAAGGCTATAAACTTTAGGATGACTCATAAACTTTAAATGGCTATTTTATGTTATAAACAATATTGTAAGATTTATTCTTTGACAAAGTATGAGTACAAAAACTTGCATTTCAGCATTTGTCTCATAGTACAGATGGATAATTTTAAATTTTAGGCAAACTGGCTCTAATTTAAATTCAATCATGACAAATCCATCAATTGTGTGAAATGTTTTGCATCTATATGTGGCTTTGTTTAAAAATAAAAAATAAATAGAATTTAAAAGACAAAAATTGAAGTTATAATTTCTTACATTGTTACATGTTTCCAACAATACATTACGTTAACCATTTGAATAATAATAATAATAAATTTAATAACATTTACTTGTGTTAACTTGATTGTCAAATCTCAGTTATCTTATAGATTATTGTAATCATTAGGGTCTTGGAACCATGTGTGGGAGAGAGAAATAATCAAAGTTGAGGCAAGGAACATCCTAATGGGTTTTAATCTAAATACTAAACGTGTTACGATGTGGAGGAAATTAGTAAGCAAATACTACGAAGTACTATTTTCTCAACATTCCACTCCCCCTTCTTTTAATGCTCCAAATTTAAAGGTCTTGTTGTTTGTGTAACCTATTATAACACAAGGTCCCTTAAATTCACAGAATTTGTGGAAGTCAATTACATTAAATCCATCAATGTTTGTTCTGTAACAGCATTTCAGTTCTCTTTCTGCCAGTCAATATTTAATTTTCCAACCTCAGCAGTATAAACATTCAACCATTGGTTAAATCATAAGCATCTTTAAAAAGTGTACTGTTCGCCTACAGACTTATGTTATCATTAATTTACCCTTTTATGGGTGAATACTTATGTATCTCCTCTAATCAATTGACGAAAAGTTTGTGGCAGGGTAATCAACACAATGAATCTGTACCATTCGTATTAAGAAACAAATTATGCATCACCATGTCGCCACAAATTCTAATTGCAAAGTCTAAAAAAGTATGAATTCTAAATTCTGGAAACTAACCCAGAAAAGTATATACTTTAAGTATGTAGCTGTATTTGTACAAATACAAACTACCCAGAAGTAACGTGTGATATAAAATTATGCAAACCCACAAAATGTGAATTATTCAAAAATTCGGGATTCGCAACTGTTGAAATCACCGAAACAGGATCATACCACCAAAAAAAAAAACTGACTGGTTTGTTAAAAATTCCACAAACTGCATTCTTCTTGAAGGGATTTTAGTTAAATCACTTGGAGATGGACAAAAAGCTCTTTCCAAAGGAACCATGATTTGTGTAGATGATATAAATACGATTATCCAAATACCATACAAAAAACAGATATAATATGAGAATAGCATGTAAAGAACCAAGAAATATCTCTAGAAAGAGAAAAACAAGATAGCTACATTATAAAGTAAAAACACCCCATCAAACAAAATAATCATAGGAACACATTGATCAACTCACCTTAACAAATCATCAAAAGGTATTAAAGATTTAATCTTTCACCAAAATTTCATACAAAATCAAAAGATTGGATTACAAATGAGAGAATTATACTTGAGCAAAGCAAATTAGTAAATCAATTATAGATATGGGGAGTTTTAGACTTCTGTATTAGTGTATAAAAGTAGAGCTCAAAATTAGCTTCAATTGTTTGTGCATCAAAGTAACTATTGTGCTTTTCCTAGTATAATTGATTTATGCTCCACGATTATTTGTGGAGAAGGTTGAATTTCAAATCAGATGAATTGTTCTATTTACATTTCTTGGCAACCATGAGTCCACCATGAGAAGATTAGGATAATAATCATAGCTAACGACATTAAGAATGGAACAATAAGTCACCTATAACTTATATTTTTTTTAATCACCAATTATCAATTTTACTGCATTCAAACAACAATAACAGCATAAATAAACAAATTTCAATAGTCAAATGGAGTAAAATTAGACTATACCAATTTCTTCCTGTAGCTGGTCATGCTCTTTTCATAATCAGACATCCTCTTCTCTGCTGTATGGATGTAAGGAACCTTCTTCTGTAATCAATTACAAACAATAATTAGTTCAGTAATTTCGAATCACATACAAAAGTAAACCAACCAAGATGAAACTTACAGCACCAGTCAATGATTTTCACTTCTCCCCACCAGCTTTCCCAACCTAAACATAAAATCAAATATTATCAAATGACAAACCAATAAAATCAAATAGTTCAAAAGGCAAATTGTAATTTCAAGACTCACATCAGCAACAGATTTGTTGTTGGGGTGCTTCTGTTTGTATGTCACTCTACTCCTCCCTATGATTCAGAGTCGATTAACACCACAAGCTTTCCCAACCTATACATAAAATCAAATTCCATCAAATGACAAACCAATAAAATCAAATAGTTCAAAAGGTAGATTGTAATTTCGAGACTCACAGCAGCCACAGATTTGTTGTTAGGGTGCTTCTGCTTGTATGTCACTCTAAAATCCTCCCTATAATTCACTGTCAACAAGTCAAATATCAAGCAAACATGGCATATTACTAGAATCAAACAACTGAATAACCGAAAAATGAGCGAAAATTAGAGTTATACATGAAAACAAAAAGGTAAGTGCCTTCTTTGGCTTGTTAGGGTCCTTTGTTGGCTTCCTCTTCTTAGCCACGACTCCTTTCTTCACAGAAAGCCTACAAAATAAAGTAAAAACTCGATCAATCGCTTTAGTCGAGTAAACAAACAATATAACAGACGCATTACCTGAAGATCTCAGATCTGGAAAGCAAGAAATGCCAAAAAATGTACATAACCTCCAATCTCCAGGTTAATAACCAACACAATCACGCTCAAAATTATAAACATAAAACAAAACAAATTCGACGCACATCTGAATATCAATAAATCTACGTAAACGTCATAATAAAACCTCATGCAAAGTATGCTAAAAAATTATATAAAACTCTACGTTTCTTTATTTCACACACCAAATAAATTCTATCAAGCAACAGAACTTTACTTAGCACCATCTATCATGTCAGGTTCATGCTAACATCTTCAATATTATGATTAATCAATCAAACTATATAAGACTCACTACTAGAAAAAAGACTTATGGCAACGGCAATAATCTGTTACCATATGTTCTATTAATGTTGCCATATGCCTATAGCAGCGGATTATAAACTGTTACCAATAGGTGCCGTTGCTAAAACTCTTTAGCAGCAGCTTTCATGCATTAGGCAACATTTATTGTAAACTGTTGCTACAAATAATTATGTTAGCGCTTTTCTTAGGTAGCACTTTCTAACTTAGCCAACACTTATTCAACAACTTTAGGCAACATTTTCAAATTTAAAGCAACAATTTTCGCTAATTTTAAGCAACACTTATTAGCTTGATACTAGTTGATGTTTAAAATTAAGGCAACACTTTATTTTGTTTATGGCAATGCTTCCAATTGAAACTAAGTCGACACTTTTAAACCTGCTAATGGCAACGATTTTAATTGGCTTTAAAGAAATAGATTTGATAATAATGCATTTAATAATAATTAACTTGCTTAAAGAGCATATGATCAATAAACTTACGCTTTGAAATAAGTTCTCCAAAAAAAGTTATACATAGTTAATTCAAATTAATTCTAAATGATAAGCTAAATATTTATTACAACCAGCAAAAACATTCAATCTAAAATTTTCATACATTAAACTAATTAAAATTCTAAAACCAAATTCTAAAAATTTATCTTCAAAAATCATTCTCTTATTTTTTGCTCAAAGTCCAATAGATCTTTAGATGGTTGATGGAGCACTTCATACTTGGATATATAGTCTCCTGCAATAATAATAATAATAATAATAATAATAATAATAATAATAATAATAATAATAATAATAATAATAATAATAATAATAATAATAATAAATAATAATAATAATAATAATAATAATAATAATAATAATAATAATAATAATAATAATAATAATAATAATAATAATAATAATAATAATAATAATACTCTTATATCCAATAAAAAAATAATTCAAATGAATTATTTATAAAGAATTATTATCAAAACACTAGAAATTGAGATTGTAGTGCGTAAATAATGAAAATAAAAAAATATTTCATCTAAAATGGGCAAGAAGTAGTATTGTAGAAACATCACAAGAGTATAAGGAAGTAAACATCAAACGATCATAAATTTGTATAATCATAGAGACTACATTATCAAAACACTAGAACAATTTGGCTAAGCTAGCATCATAAATTTTGATGCCTGGTTTCGAGAAGAGGAAAGAGATTGAGTTTTTTAATCTTATAATTTTCTAAGAAATAATGTCAGTTGTGTTTACTTTGTTTAGAACTTCATATCATATAATACACCATTTCAAATTCTTCAACCACATGTAACAATGTAAAAATAGAAAAAGAAAAAAGGAAGATAACATGTAAAATAGAATAACATACCTGTTCATAAGCTTAAATAATATAGTTTATGCATCATTTGTAGTCGTTGAAACGATAGCTTTTGCAATAATTTCTGGAGTTAAGCTAGGATCTTTTTGGCGTAGTTGTGCAAGTGCTGATATTACTGCATCAAGAGTTATATTCCATAGCTGATTTTCAATATCCATGCGTATCTCTTGCAGTTTTAAGGTCTCAGATTCAAGCTCCTTAGTCTTCCTCTCTATTTCAGCTTCTTGTGCAGCATGAACTTCTTTTTCCTTGGCAAATTCTTCAATTTCAACACTTATATCCTTCTGAACATCAGCAGTTACAACACTTTTAATAGACTCCATGATCTCTTCTGGTAGAATCAAAGAGGTACCAGGTCCTTTATCTTTTCGCTTCTTGCGAGTGGCACCAAGTCCTTGTAATAATTTTGTACCTCGACGTGCATTTCCCATAACATCATCAAATGGGTCCTTAACAGATTCACCACACTGATCATCTTGAGAAGCTTCCAATTCCCTCATTACTTGCTGTAACAATTATTAAAATAGGTGACAAAGTATACGATAAATTAATTCATTAAATAAATTAATAGGAATAATATAGTATTTACTATCTTCTGTTGTGTATCATCATAAGGTCGATCATAGGTTCTTCCCTCCTTTCGCCGTCGAGTCTCTTCAAACATTTTTCTTTTTGATGGTGTCACACCATCTCACTACTAGAAAACAGGCAAATTCCGACGGACTTGTTCCGACGGACACGAAATTCCGTCGGGAAAAGCATAATTTCCGACGGATTTCTGTTCCGTCGGATATTTCCGACGAATTCAAAAAATCCGTCGGAAATTTCTGACGGAAATAAATTTTTGTAGGAATAAATGTGCTTTCCGACGGAAAATTCCGTAGGAAATTATAATTTCCAACGGATTTATAGTCCGTCGAAAAATTCCGACATAATTAAAAAAAATAAAATATTTTTTCCGAACCCTACCCAATAAAACCGATTCCCTTTCTCTCTCCTCTTCTCCTGGCGCCCCTCTCCTTCTCTTTCTCTCTCCTCTTCTCCTCTTTCTCTTTCTTCTCCTTCTGCTTTCCTCTTCTCCTTCAGCTTATTCTTTCCTCTTCTCCTTCCTCTCTTGCTTTCCTCTTCTACTCTTTCTCTTTCGTTCTCTGTTCCTCTCCTTCTTCTTATCTCTTCTCCTTCTCTTTCTCTCTCCTCTTCTCCTTCGTTTCGCTACTCCTCTTCTTCTTCGTCTCGCTGCTCTTCTCTCTATCATTTTTCTTTCCTCTTTTCCTTCCCTTTCTCTCTTCTCTTTCCTTTGTCGTTTTCTTTGTCATCACCGGTGAGGGGTTGGCCTTGGTTACGACCCCAATTCAATCGTTTTTCTCGTCGCCGTCGCCTGGAGGTACCGTACTTCTCCCGAGAATAATGGTTATTCAGGTCGAATTCGACCATGAAACCTCTAGATCTAGAGGTTTCATGGTCAAATTTGGCCATATTAAACCAAATTCGAGGTGACATTCAAAGCAAAACTCGATTCTAAAGGTATGTTTTCTTTTTTTTTTTTTTAATTTTTTTTTCACATTGTTTCGTTACCTGGGTTGTGGTTGTGGTTTTGGGCGGTTGTGGGTGGTTTTTGGTGGGTATGGTGGGTGGGTTCGGGTTAGGGGTTAGGGTTTGGTAGGTCTGGGTAAGGGTGCGGTGGTGGTGGTTGGGGATATGGGTTTTCGGTGTTTGTGGTGGTGGTTGGTGGATCTGGGTATTCGGTGTTTGGTGGTGGTTGTGGTTAGGTGGGTCTGGGTTAGGTGTTTGTGGTGGGTGGGTCTGCGTAGTTGAGGTTAGAGGTCAGGGGTGGAGGTGGAGGTGGTGGTGTAGCGGTGGGGGCTGGTGGTGGTATGGGGTGGGGTGGGATTTTTTTTTTGTTTTTTTTACAGGGTTTTCTGACGGAAATTTCCGTCGGAAGAGGTATATTCCGACGGAATCTCAAGTAAAGTTAAAAAACCGCCGACAGAAATAAATCCGTCGGAAATTCCGTTGGAACTAGCCTTCCGACGGAATTTTCCGTCGGAAAAGGTCGAATTTCCTACGAAGTGTTTTGCGACAGAACATTCCCGTCGGAAGACCAATTTCCGACGGAATTTCGACTGATTCCGACGGATTATTTCCGTCGAAATTAAGCTGTTTTCTAGTAGTGTCTTTCCGTAGCTAAGAAATAAACATAAATAAATATATAAACAACATAAAATCCATGAAATAGAAAAAATCGTAATATATATGGAATGTATTTCGCACCAACTGCTCATGTTTCATGGCAAAAGAAACAGGACCATCTGTATGTATGTTGTCTTGTTCACGCCGATTTTCAGAATTCTGCAAGCTGGTTTTCTACATAAAAAAAAAATGCATTAAAATCAAGACAAATTTATTAAGTTCCTAATTGTTCAATTATACCTTTGCTATTGGTGTCCCCTAATAAGCTAAAAGTGTTTTTTGTAATGTGCTTCAGGCACTCTTTCAAGAGGATGCTTCAATCTCTCTTCATAGGTGTCATACATATAATAATGATCTCTTTTGAGGCGACATTTGAATCCTCTCCATGATTGATCAAGAGTCTCCATTACCCAATCCTTAGCTCCAACTGGAAGGATGTACTTACTCTAAAATAATGGTTAGGTTTATGTTATAAAATACAATATTAAAACACTTATAAAAGTAAACACATGTTGTATACTCAAAATAGTACAAATGGAAGAAAATAACACTTCCATTCACAAATTCCCAGATTCTCCTAGATTTTCTCCTTATTTGGAACTTGTTTCCAATTTGTGTATGTCAAGGGAGCCCAGGTAATCATGAGCAATAGTTCCTAAGAATCTAGTTAGTTCTTTCCTTGCCTTTTCAGGCCCAATAGCTTGTCCTTTGTCATTGCAGTAGATAGCTATGCAATCTTCCCATTTGCGAGCATGGACATCAAACAAATTTGTTGGACCTCGCCCTTTCTTCTTAGGAACTTTTATCCAAGTAAAAACAAAAGAATAAATTCAAAAGAAATAACAAATTTAAAGATAGAAATAAAGATTACAATCGCAACTTTATAAATGCAATTACATGACATGGAAAAGTTCATAAGTAAAAATGTCACAAGCATTCAATAGTTTTTAAGGCATTAACTAGATCACTTTGACAAACAAACAAAGAAAAGGATCCCAAGTAACAAATTGTACCAAAATAAATTTGAAGTTTAAGAGAGTTCTAAGACACAAACAATCAAAATGCTTTTGTTTTCCCATACTTAGACAACTTCCAAAAAAATTGAAATCACTCCACTCAATTTACAGAACTTCCAATCTGTTTTGTATTTTATAATTCTAGAGAACTGTAAACCAAGTCTTATGCATCAGCAGGTCCTGCACAAGAATCAACAACATAACCTGCATTGCCATGTACCATCGGTAGTAGGCACTACACCATTACCAGCAGGCCTTGCACCATCAGCAACAGGCCCTGCTTAAGTAGCAGCAGACCCTACATCAACAATAGCACCAGAACCTGCATCAACAGCAGCATATCCTGCATCAACAGCAGCATACCCTGCATCAACAACATAACCTACATTGCCATGTACCATCAGCAGCAGGCACTGCACCATCAGCAGTAGGCACTACACCATTACCAGCAGGCCTTGCACTATCAACAACAGGCCCTGCTTAAGTAGCAGCAGACCCTACATCAACAACAGCACCAGAACCTGCATCAACAGCAGCATACCCTGCATCAACAGTAGCAGACCCTGCACTAGCAATGTCCCCTTGATCAACACAAGCAGTCACGTTTTGCCACGTGCAGCAGCAACACCTCCCGGAGCAAAAACTCACTTCAAATACTCCCATACTCCCCCACAAGCCTAACAAAACTTGCTTCAACCAGAACATAATTACGTTTGATTTTATAATGGCACTTAGCTTGTAGTTTGTTCATTGTTTACTGCTAATTACTTATATAATAAGAGAAGAAGCAGTTTTAGAAGCATATTATAGAAAGTTGTCTAACCTTGGATTGAATAACTAAAAAGTTTACAAGACCATAAGACAAACCTTGTGCGGAGGCAGATAAGATTTTTCATGAATTTTAAAGGGGTGGAGTATTAAAGACAAACCTTGTGCGGAGACAGATTCTCCTCGGCTTTCTAGTGGAACAATGGTCAAAAGCGGACGCTTAGATCTTTGTCAATCTTGCTCCAATTGCTGTACATCTTGCTCTATTTGTCGTACTTCAGCTGGATCCATTTGATTTTGAGCAACAAGGAAATCGTCCATTGCCATAGATGGGCACAATGGCTGCTTCTTATTCTTCCTAGTTGGTTGTTCTCTAGTTCTTGCCTTCTAGCATCCGATCATTAAGGTAATCAGTATAAAATAAACATGATCCCAAGAAGAAAAAAAAATGAAAAAAAGGAAAAAGAAACCTTCTTAGGTATAGAGGTTGTTGCTTCTCAAGACATCTCAAACTCCTCATCAAGGTCACAATTTTCTTCATCAGGCACATAGTCTTTTTCATCTACATTAGAACTCACATTCTCCTTTCCTTTTTGCAAAGTTCTTATTTTTTTCCAACAATTGTGTTTGCAATCTTGTCGAGCCGTAATTCTCTAAACCTCTAGGCATTTCTTTCTATAGTCATGGACCTTACTTTCTCATAAGGTGCTAAAATAGACTTCGAGGCAATTTCAGGCTTCTTACTTCCATTCTTCGTCATTCTGCATACAAATATTATAAACAGTTAGTGGGAAAAAAAAAAGTTTAGACCTATCAAATAGCAATTACAACAAAATAGTCAGACATATTTTTTTCAAATATAACACATACTTAATACTAAAAAATTTATTAGTACTATATCTAATACCTGACATAAAGCTAATATATTCAGGTTTTGGGATACTCAAGTTTTGGGAAAAAAATTAGAAAAGGCTAATATATTGACTAAGGAAGAAGATAATTTTGAGGAAATCCAAAGATGATAAATAATTACTACTAAAACAGCTAAATCAAATGTTCAAACAGCAAGTCTAATACATAAAACAGAGTATAATATAATAAAATCGATTTTTTTAAAATAAATGCAATTGCTCAAGATTCATTAATAATCCTATGGCTCATGAGTTGGAACATCATCAGTTGCATCCATCCAATCCCAATCTGTATCATCATAGTCAATGTCATCTTCAAGGTTATTAACATCCTGATAAATCAGCTATGTTCACAGCACGCACTTCACCACCACCAGCTCTTACATGAATATGATTAGCATTGAAAGAAGGCATGTTATTAGAACTAGCATCAATAGGCTCCTCCTAATATGTTTCCTCATTCAGTGCTTCCTCAAAGTCGGTCTCTTGGAACCCTTTTCATGACGTATTGAATATCTTTTTCTAATGGATCTTAGGAATAGTATGCTTAATGAACCTGAAAAGCCAATACAAATGGATCATCTTTGGAACATTTCTTCTTGAAATTAACATATGTAAGCCCAAACTCATCAATATCACCAAGAAATTAATCGCACTTAAATAACACAACGCTGAATTGAGACCAAAAGTCTAACTCAAAAATTTCTTCTATTACACCACTGTAGGTAACATCTCCGCCGACGGGATTTCGATCCCTTGATCTGGAAAAACTTGAAGTCAAAGTTGTCAAAGTCACTCCACTATTTTGAGTCTTTAATCGTGAATCACGTTCTCTAGTGTAAAAACCTATAACCATTGATAAAATACCCAGTGTACCTCCTGGCCTTAGGATTAGGACCCTTAGCCAACCAAAAAAGTTCTCCATTAACCTAATCCCTTTGTACTTTTTCAAAAAACCAATCAATAAAATCTTTACTATGACTTTGTGCACTATCCCATCTACGCTTTCGACCTTGGCTATTCACCCAAATCTGATGTTCTCTGAATTATAAAAGAAAAAATATCATTATTTTATTAGATTAAAATTATAAAAACTGAAAATATATTAAAAGAAAAAAAAACTCTTACTTGATGTATGTTTCAACTATTGCATTGTCGCAATTGAAGACAACATATCTATGAGCTTGCTTCAGACTTTGGAAATCTAATGTAAATCCTTTTCCTTTTCTCTTCCTTTTCTCTCCAATAGGATTTCCTACTTTAGGAAACAAAGATAATTCATCATCATGCTGATTCAAGAAAAAATTCCTAGCACATCTTCTATCTAGTCTAGTGTTTACACCTTCACGCAAATATCGAGAAATAAATGTCAAGCACTCTTCCATCATATACCCTTCTACTATACTTCCTTCGGGATTACTCCTATTTCAAACATAGGACTTCAGCTTACCTAAATACCTCTCAACAAAGTACATCCATCGATATTGAACAGATCCACCAAATTTGATTTCCTCTACTAAATGAACAGGTAGATGAATCATAACATCAAAGAATGCAGGAGGGAATATCATATCAAATTGACAAAGTATATCGACAACTTCAGATGCTAACTTATCTAATTTTTCAAGATCAACAATTTTACTACATATACCATGAAAAAAGTTCCCCAATCTAGTCAAAGGTACTGCAACATTTTTGACAATGTCTTCCTCACAGCAACTTGAAGCAAGTGATGCAATACGACGTGTGCATCACGAGTTTTGTAGCCAGAAAAATTCCTTTCTTTAACATGCACACACCTCCCGATATTTAATGCATACCCATAAGGTAACTTTGTTTCCTTAAGAACTTTAAGAAACAAGTCCTTCTTTGCATTACTCGTAGAATAAGGTGCTGGTGGAAATAGCATGTGGCTGCCATCTTCAGATGGATAAGGTTGGAGGTGTGGTTTTATGCCAAGATCCAACAAATCCAAACGTGCCTTATTATGGTCTTAGTCTTTCCTGGAATGTCTAACAAAGTGCCAACAATATTATCGAATACATTTTCTCGATATGCATGAAATCTAAATTATGACGATATTTAATATTAGACCAATAAGACAGTTGAAGAAAGCATGATTCTTTTTCCATGGACCTTTACCACCTCCACCTTTACTTTTCTTCCCAAAATCATTTTCAAAGTTCCCTAATTCATTCATCAAATCAGTACCTCATAACGAAGAAGGTGCACACCTATCCTCTACTTCTCCATTGAATGAATTTATATCTTTCCGCCAAGGATGATCCATATCAAGATGCCTTCGAATATCCATGTAAAAATTCTTTTTGCTGTGATGCAAGTATTTAGGTTTCACATCATGGTTACAATTAGGACATGCATAATTTCCCTTAATTAACCATCCAGACAACATGGCGTAAGCTAGAAAATCATTCATCGTCCCCATTAATGCAGTATGCAATTGAAATGATTGTTTTTAAATGCATCATAAGTCTCAACCCCAAATTCCCATAATTCCTTCAATTCGTTAATTAGTGGTTGTAAAAAAACATCTATGTCATTTCTAGGAGACTTAGGGCCAGGAATTAACAAAGACAACATAAAATATTTCGATTTCATAGAAAGCCAAGGTGGAAGGTTGTAATTTATCAACACAACAGGCCATGTGTTGTGAGCAACCTCATAGTTCGAAATGGATTGAATCCATCACTAGCAAGAGTTAAACGTACATTTCGCGCTTCATTTTTAAAGGCAGGATATGATGAATAAAAGTCCTTCCAAGATAGGGCATCTGTCGGATGTCTAATTTTGTCATCTTTTATTCGGCCTTTATCATGCCAAACCAATAATTCGGCTGTTTTGGAACACATGAATAGTCTTTGCAATCTAGGTATCAAAGGAAAATGCCTTAAAACTTTGGCAGGAACATTGTTAGACTTCCACCTAGATGTACCACACTTAGGACAAACATCCGCTCCTTCAAATTCCTTCCTATAAAGAATACAATCATTGGGACAAGCATGGATTTTTTTTATAATCAAGACCCAAATTCTTCACTATATTCCTAGATTCATTAAATGATTTAGGAAGTTCGACCATTGGAAATGCCTCTCTTAATAACTCTAAAAGATCACCAAAGGCTACATTGCTTAAGCCATTAAGGCACTTAAAGAGAAACAAACGAATTATGAAAGACAATTTGAGAAAGTTTTACAGCCTGGATAGAGCTCTTTCTTTCCTTCTTCCACTAAATGAAAAAACTTTCTAGCCTCCTCATTTGGCTCACTTTCAACCTCATGATCTCTATTTAGACCTTCATCCACATTTCTAAAAGTATCATGTAGTAAGCCATCGATATCATCATGTGTACTTTGATTATTTACTTCATGCATAGTTTGCCTATCATTATTTGTAGAAGAATATCCCTCCCTTTGCAAGACCGACTCCTTGAATCCCTTCACAAACCCATTAACAATCAAATGATCATAAACGTCATCTCTAGAATGGCAAAAACACCTCGAACACGTTTTACAAGGGCAAAATATTTGATCTCCAATGGCGTCCTTGGCAAAATAATCATTAAGAAAAAAATTCAAAGCAACTTTAAAGTCCTCCGAACTTCTAGGATAGTTCATCCAATTTTGATCCATAACTTAATTTATGTCAATTCCTAAATTACACAAGCAAATAAATTTAGAGATCATCTATATTATGAAATGAAAGAATAGATATGATAGATATTAATTGGAAAAATATATAGTACTAAAGCTGAAAATAGAAATCTGAAGTAAATACATTCAAAGATCATCTATGATATCTAAACACATACACATATTAGTTATAAACCAAAATCTAGTACATATAAGTTTATGATTATTAAGATCAAAAGTTATATATAAGAAGAGAATAATTAGTTTTACTCACTAACTGGACTGAAAATTACAAAGTGTTTAGATAAAACTTTAAATAAGAAACCACTAACTATGAAATAAAAGTTAGGTAGACATGATTCCATTAACTCATAATAATTCCCGACTAATAAGAAATATGCTACTGGTCTATAAGGAACACTTACTTGGCATCAACAATCTCTAGCTTATAACTATCTTTATGTTCACATAAGCTTAATCTCGTTAAAATATAAGAGTGATAAAGTAAAATTATACTCTCTAAAATCTTAATTATTTGTGCACTATCAATTTTAACTTTAACTCGCTTTTTACAGATTCTTCACATCACCTTATCCGGCTGTCCTGATATAGTTTCAATTATGTGATTCAATTCTAATGGATAATGAATAAGACCTAAACTTTACATATCACACTAAAGAAATTGTAATATTGTAACAAAAGTTCACTTTATTGCAATGCTTCATTATTGCTAACAAGATCATCATGCATTTTTTTTGGGTTTTATCATATAAATATGTTACTGGGAAAGTCATGTTCTTTAAGTGGCATTAATTAGTAAAGTAGTGGCTAAGTTAGTTGTATTCATATACTCACAGGTAGATATTTATAATTTTCCAGTACTTCTTACGAAGTAGTTTTTATATGGAGCATACTTCTTAATTTTCCAATATCCTTATAATTGCAAATTAACATCAACTTATTCAATCACTCATTAGATTTTTTTTGAGAATAATTTTTTTTTTTTTAAGAATGAGAATAACTTATTTAAATTATAGCCTTTAAGCCAATTAACATCAACTTATTCAATCACTCATTCACTCGTATAAGACCCAGTTCTATTTTTTAAAAAAATACACAAAAAACCACAAAAAAATCACAAATTAGCAATTATAGGCAAGTGGAAACTAACAATTGTTACTAATCTTTTCCAATCTAGCAATTATAAGCATGCTCACAATCTAGAGTATATAAATAACCAACAAACAATCCTAAAAAATTATGTAAATTTATTCAAGTAATATTGCTTTTGTTGATCTTATACTAACCAGCAACATGCAACTCACCAAGAAAACATATTAATTAACAGGAAAAAAAAAATTCCACGGTAATTCATAATAAATCTATAAATTAAATTGAATTATATGAACTCTCATAATCAGATCATACAATTCCCCAATTTACCAAACCCTAAATCCCCTATTCAATACCCATAAGTTCCAACTACATAACTGTGATATCAAAATCAAATTGGAGATAAGTTATTCAAGAAAATATCAATTTATACAACTAAATTACATACTAACCTTGTTCACTAGTCTTGAGAGCAAACAAATTTTGGTAAACTGTGATTCAAGCAATTTTAACTCGCCTACAAAGAATTGTAATCGGACTATGATGACGAGATTGTACGATAATCAACCCTAATTTATGTGCGAAAATAAGAGAGGGCTGATTTAAGAATTATGGGGGATGAACAGAGGGAATTGAAATGAAAAGAAAGAGGGTTTGTGAATTAGGAGAGGGTTTGTGAATTAGGAAAAGAAGGAGGGAAACCAAAAAAAAATTGACCGCTTAATTGAAAATTTTCATGTTCCCAGAATTTTCATGTACCCAAAAAAAAGACCGCTTAATCACTACCAAGTACTCCGATCCGTATTAGTTATTTTTATTTTACAAATCAGAAATTATTTAATTAATCAATCATTAATCATTAATATTAACTAGCATCTACTTGGTTAAACCGTTGTCAAATAATATCTTTTACTTATTCATTAAAAGCGTTGCCATTTTTTTCTTTATAGCAACAGTTGTTAAACGAAAATGGTTAGTTATATCAATAAATTAAAAACTGTTGACATATGTCTACTTATAACAACACTAATAAAACTGTTGCAAAAATGTGTGTTGCTATAACCCTCTTTTATTGTAGTGACTTAGAAAAAATGATGCTCCCACACCTACACCTCTTTTAATTTGGGAAAAAAATGATAATTGCCTTGTGACAGAGATTGCTAATAACATAAACTTTCTTCACACAATTTCTTGCATCCTCTGGTAGATCAAACTACAAAAAGTAGAGCCTTATCATCAATTTAATTGACAACACAAAATAAATTCAAGTAACTAAAACAGAACAAAACAATAATAATTTAAATAAAAAAACGAAATAAAATTAAGATAATTGAAAACAATTACGAAATTAGGAAAAATACTGACTTGAGAACCAACATGAGTGTTCATCGGAATAGTTTGTAGTATTAGGAAAATACTGACTTGAGAACCCAAATGCTTATCCAAATGTTTCTGCTTCTTCATCCTCGACCTTTGGGCAGATTCGCGGTTCGAAAGCATCTATTTTCGCTTCCGTTCATCCATATTCGCATATCATCGGCAACGATTGCCTCATAATCACACATAATTTCTCCTAAATTGAGAAAATCAGTTGTTTTCCTCCAAGTTCAAGCACAAAAAAGGGCTTTTATTTAGGGGAAATCGAAAATTAGGGTTAAGGTTTGACGGAATCTAAAAATCTAGAAAAAATACACCTAAATCTATCAAATTGAAAGAATTGCTTCATGAGAAAACGTACCTATAATTGTTCGACAGGAGAAGGTTGAAGTTGTATTTCTTCTAATAAACTACACAATATATTTAATATCTTCAATTACATTTATACATCCAAAACAGGTATGAAAACTCTTGAAAATTACAAAAATCTAATGCACAAAAACAAAATTAAAATCAACAAATCATCAACAAATACATAACAACACTGATTAAAATCATTACAAATCCAAATAAAAATTAAAAAAGATTGAAGAACAAAGTGATATACTTGATATTCGTGGGTGTTGAGACGGCGGAGCTGCTGCGGCCATTTTCCGGCGAATGAGAGACATTTAGAAAGGAGATTTTTGAGCGATCCTCTAACCATTTTTTATATATCGACGGCAATCTCGCAAAGGAAGGAGAGAGAAAAGTAAGAGTAGTCCAATAGGTGAAGTGCGAAGAAGAATGAAATTAGTGAGCCACTGTCCTTGGGTTTCATTGCTGCTACTACATTTTTGCGATGTGAGATTTGCCCAGATAAAAGTAAAATGGAGGAAGGAGGGAGAAAATGGAGATATGAGAGAGGAAAGATTCGAGAGGAAGTGACCAAAGGAGAGAGAAAGCACCACCGCCTGAGTGATGGAGCAGGAAGCCAGGAAACGGGGAAAAGGCTCCGACTAAAGGGGAAAAGGCAGAAGGGCAGAATTAATAATAGACTTTTTTAAGGGTAAAAAGTGAAGTACACTGTTCATAAGCAAATTGTAATGAAGAAACCTGTTTCGGGGTTTTCTGATGTCCTGCGGGAGAGTTACAATTCCGAGATTGGAACCGGACGCCTGTACCTGCAAAACAAACGGATGTTCCGGATGATTGGAGATCCGCCTCCGACGGTCAAGTTAGTACTTGATTAAGGAGTAATTAATGCGGAAATTAAAGTGATTGGGTCTCTCTAGGTGAGAGTGTTTAATGTGTGTAATCTGCGTTCTCTGCGTAATCTCCCTTAATGAGGATTAAGGGAGGTATTTATAACCTCGGGAAACGTGCCAATCTAGGTTTAGGTTAACCTTGGGCTGATTGGGCTTCCCTCGGAAGTTGGGCCTAGGTGACCGGTTATCCCAGGTGTCATGGGAAGGACACGTGTCGTGTCGTAATTGGTCCATAGTGGACGGATCATTGCTTGACACGTGGCAGGCGCCTATTGGCCCATGTGACGGACACATGGCGGAACCTGATTGGTCCACTTGTCAGATGGTGATTGGTGGGGAAAAATCCCCTAATCATTTGCCCCTCACAGGTGGCACGTGACTGGTCACGTGTTACCTGTGACAGGTATCGCCCTGTAACAGGCGACGGCCTGCTACAGGTGTCACTCGGCGAGAGGCCGAGAGATTCTCCCGCCAAAATTTTGAATTCTGGAAGTGACCCTTCGCCTTCTCACTTCGCCTATATAAAGGAGTGTTGACTTCGGTCATTTTCACACTTGAAAACTTTGTGAGAGAACATTCGGACCCCTGAACTTGCTTTGACATTTTGGACCCTTTCTGCCTACCGCCTGCTCTGACAAGCCGACTGCAAAGGATTTTCAGAACTTCATCAATCGTCACTCGTTCAGGTAACCGTCGGTTCTCTTACTCTTAATTTTCTCTTTACTTTATTCTTTTTTGAAATGGCACCACAGAAGCACACGACACGACCTAGGTTAGTGATCAGCTGGTCACCGGGGACGGCTGAATCTAGGACTAGGAGTGTCGCCTGCCCTTTTCTGGACCCATCTTTGCCCTTTATACAAAGTCCGACTGTATCTGTGTCTATGCAGAGCATGATGTCCAGAACAAAAAAGACTGTCAGGATCTCAAACTCAGACGGCTCCTCCCACAGGGTGCCGATTAGTGAAACATCTGACCAGGCGCCAGATGTGGAAGTGAAACAAAGCGGCTTGAAAGCCAGCAGTTCTGAGGGAGGAGTCAAAGTGACCCCTTCCCATTTTACAGTCGACAATTCTACATTCTCTCCTGCTCCTTTTAAAGGAGAGGAGGCGGGCCCCTCCGGGAGAGGGGAGGAGTCGTCCTCTTCGGACTCGTCAGAGGACGATTCCGAGTCTAGCTCTTCTGGCCATGCTTCCCTGGACACAGAAGAGAAAAACATTCGCCTACAAGAGGCAAGGCTTTCTCACGCAGTTGAGAAGGGGGACGATTGGGCGGAGCCATCCGCCTCTCACCGAGAGCAAAATACCCCCTACTACTGCACGGTACCTCGGGGCCGGATCACGGCCATGCAAGAGAAAGTGGAGAGCTTTATCGCAAACCACACAATGGGCCCCGGCTTTTTAGTGTTCGTGCCGGATCCAGAAGACACAGTCGTATGGCCGGCTGGTACCAGTTATGATGGCGCCTGCTTTGGCTGCTACGAGGCGGCCATCAAGGCTGGGCTGCGCTTCCCACTACATCCGGCTGTTCAGCGGATTTTGGATGGGTATGAGTTGGGGTTATGGCAGTTAGCCCCGAACTCCTGGGTCAACGTACTCGGCTATGTGGCCGGGTGCGAACTGCACGGGGAAGAGCCGAGCTTCGAGGCTTTCGCCCACATGAACTACCTCAGCCGGACCCCTAAGGCAGGCGGTACCGGCTGGTATCAATTGACGAGCCACAGGGGCTACCTCATGACGAGAGGTAAAGCAAACAAATGGAAGGACTGGCGGAGCACCTTCCTCATCATTGAGAGTTCAGACACAGAGCTGAACAAGCGCTTCAACAGGTGGAACAGGAATCCGCCCCTTCTTGCAGGCGGCCGCAGCATGCCGCCTGTTCCCCCCAAGGCTAAGAAAGAGATCCTAAATAAAGGACTCTTCAAAGTAGAGTCGAAGGTGAACTCTACTTCAGGGGTACGAGAGCAAGTACCCTTGCACTGCGTCCCGAGCTTCAAATGGCTCTACGACGAGTACATTTTGGCCGCCTGTGGCCTCAGCAGTCGGTGCTCAAGAGGTAGCCGACCTGTCGAATACTTTGTTGTTCCGTGCATTTATTGTTATGACTTTTATTAACTTTGCTATTTGTTTTTGCAGCGGACGCCATGAGCAAAATTACCGCCTCCAAGACTGCGCCGGCCATGTTGCGGGCCTCCATCATGCAACAGTCTTCAACCGACTCCCCCAACAAGGGGGCACCCTTGGTAGGCTTCGAACCTTTCACCCTCTTTTTGGAGTTGTGTTTATGCATATACTGACTCTTTTCTTCTTTTTTTAGACGGGCGCTCCAAGAGCTTCTTCTTCCCAACAGCCGGACCCCAAGGCCCGGAGGACGACTGTTGCGAGCTCTCCTGGTTCTGCCAGGAAACATGCGGCGGCTGAGAAACAGCCGGCCACTTCTTCTAAAACTCCAGCTGGGCCACCTAGAAGTATGAAATTATCCTTGTAAATTTTAGACTTGCTCCCTTCTTTACTAGGTCTAATCCGTTTGTTTATGCTTGATGCAGCCGGCCCTCAGGAGCCTGACTTGGTCGAGGTGGCCAAGTCTATGATCAAGGTCGTTCCTCCAGCTGAAAAGGAGGCGGTCAGGGGTGTCGTCACCCTTGACCTAGACGGGATTGCAGGGGTCCTTGCTGAGGTATACTTAGCATATTTTTGAGTATTTGAATTCCAGGACGCCTGTTTTCTTTTTTGTTTGGAAACTGACGCCTGTTCCCCTTTTTACTTAGGCCCTGCTCCGAGTGAACGGCCTTCGCAAGCCGCTTGACCGGAAGAACAAAGAGGTAAAGGCTGCAAAAGCTATGGCCGCCTCTGACTGTGATAAGGCAATGTTTCAAATTGCCCAAAATGAAGTTCTGACCATTGATATTCTTTATTATCAGGCGCAGGCTACCGCCGCTATCCGGGCTCAGTTAGAGGCGGCCTAGAAGAGGAATAGCGAGCTGGAGGCGACCATCAACAACCTCAAGGCCGAGCTGAGACCTCTTCGCCAAAAGATGTCCTCATACGAAACCTTGGAGAAATCCTTGGCGAGCGTAAAGGTACGCCTGGTGACCCAGGAGAAGAGTCTTACTCAGGAGCTCTCGGAAAAGGCCGAGCAAGAAAAGAAAGAGCTGGTCCGGAAGACTCTGCTCAAATCCAGCGCATGACTTGGGGCCGCCTCTTCCCCAATGCCGACTTTGCCTCATGGGAAAAAACGTACCGCCAGTGTTCTGATAGATATAATCAAGAGATCCTGGCGGCTGCTTAGGAAGAGGCGTTGGAGGAGGAGGAGCAGCCGGTAGTGGCGCTTGTGCCGCTTGGGGGTAATGCATCAAAAAAGGATGCAGCTGAAGCCGAGTCCAGCAAGAAGAGTGCTGACCAGGCGGCAGCTGCTAATATTGAAGATTTGCCCCATTCTTAAGCTTTATGTCTTCTTTCCACGGCCTGCGTGCCGTTTGTTTGTATTTACCCGGCTAGGGGGTCGGGGCTCTGAATATTTTGCCGGTCTTTAATGACCAGCTTCTTTTTAATGAATATTTTTGTTTTGCTTCAAATTTGTTCAAGTATTGAATATTCTGATATCCAATTGTACACTATACCGACTGTTTTACATAGCCGATAGTTGCAGACAGGTACGGATAGTTAGTCACGCTGTCTATGCCCCTGGACGACTGGTTGTCTGTTTCCAGGCTAGACGATCAGTCGGCCATTTATCCAATCGGTATTCGAACCATCTTAAAGACTGGATCCCCTTTAGGCAGGCGGTTCTGTCCTTTGTAAAATTAACCAAGTAGGAAAGTGGTTTCCTACTTGTCATGTTTTTAGGCTAGAGACTTTAGGCCGTCTAGGCCGACTGTTCCCCGCCATATTTAATCTAGTGTTAACAGGTGTTGTATGAACACCTTTTTAGTTTCATACTAAATTTTTAAGAAGTGACCAAGTAAACATGATTGTTACCTAGTCGCCAAGTAACTGAGTAGTAGAGGTATCAAGCGGTGGGTACCGGTTGTTCCCCTTTATTCGCCAATGTTTGTTGGCTTTTAACTCATAGGTTGTTAACCTAGCAGGAGTAGTGGTTGAGAGCCCCTGTTTGCTAAAAACAGGCGAACGACTCATACCTTTTAGGCTCCATACTAAGTTTGAGAGAGTGACTATGAGTTAACTTTGGTGTTACTCAGTCGCCGTCACTCCTGCTTGAGTAGTAAAGGTACCAGGCGGCGGAGGCCGGCTGAACCTTTTGATTCGCCAATGTTTGTTGGCTATTAACTGAAGAGGTACCCCCTGCATTTATCCCAAGTAATACAGGCGGTCATCTGACTCAGATGTCAACTGCTACCACTGGTTTGGTTAGTGATAGAGTTATCCTTGTCTCAAAAACGGCTACGTGGTTGCCCTTGGGGACAGTCGTATAGGTGCCGTGTAATTAGTTTATAGAGCAATGTTCCACCCAAAAGGGAGCTGCTCTCTGCGACAAATTTCATCCGGAGGGATGCCGCCGGACGCCTGCTATGATGTTGGGACAGGTCGTATTAGTTTTGAAGATTGGATTAGTTGGCTTGGCGTCTGGTCTGATCATTCGGCATGTGGCCTTGGTTAGTCCTTTAGTGGACGCAGATGCTAAGTAAGAGGAGGGCAGCCGCCTATTTAGGCACAGGCGGCATGCCCCTCTGAAGATAGAGTAAAATACTCAATGGAGAGTAGCCGACTGTAAAGGTACAGACGGCATGCCCCTCTGAAGATAGAGTAAAATACTTAATGGAGAGTAGCCGACTGTAAATGTATAGGCGGCCTGCCC